TTCGAGTGTTTTCAAAATTAATAGTTTGATTTAAAAAAATTTTGCTCACCATTATACCTAATCAATTTAACCATATACATATATATTAACTATCTGATAATCAATGAAATGTTGCTAAAGAAATTTCTTCTTACTTTGCAATTTTTACTTCACTGTCACTAGAAAAACTTCTTAAAAAAGCAATTTAAAAATTAAATAAGATTTGTGTCAACAAATAAGCATAATTTTTAAGTTCGGTCTTCAACAGTTTACAATCCGCGAGTTACGCATTAGGAGAATCAAAGTTTTTCATTATTTATTAAAGCTAACTAAATATTATATACTATATTTGCGCCTGCACAAAAATTGCGAAATCAAATCGTACAAATATTTAACCTTTACGACTGAAATTCATTGGCTTGCATAATTAATAATATAATGCAGGCCAATGAATTTCAGTCGTAAGGGTTTTTTCGCCAAAACGAAACGAATGGCAGCATAACTAAAACGTTAAAATCAGTCTTTTAAATGGACTTTGCCAACCAAATTTATTTAACTTTTTTAAACTGAATTTTTGTTATTAAAAACTTTTCTTTTCTTCATATTGAGACCAAGGATGACTTAGCTGATCTAAGTTTTGTACTCAAATATATAATTTAAGGCATTAGCGTATACAAAATATACGCGCGATATCAAAGTGATATATCAAAACATTGACAAATTAATTTCTAGCATTTCTCAAAGCTAGTATTTATTTTATTCTGTGCCTTGTGATGTTAAAAGGCATTATAGTAAGTGACAGTGCTTGATCAGCCAAATCTTTCAACAAAATATAAGTACTTTTTCAGCACTCAAATATTTGTAAGCACTATATACTTTAACAAAATGGAAAATAATTTTCAAAGACTTTACATGATCATGATGAAATAACTAGTTTCTGACAAAGAACTCTTTTCTTGATTCTTTTAGCCATTACAAAATGATCAAGAGATTTTTTAGTTCTCGATATCAGAGGGTGGAAAAAGAAGCCTGAAAACGATAATATCTTGCAAAATTCAGCAGAGTTGCACATGAGTGTGCAATAATCTCACCGAACCCAGCTCAGTAGACGCACACGCGGACTAGCAAGTATTTCATCAAACATGTAAAATGATTTTTTATTATACATTATAACCGTCGTTGAACAGCCGACCCAATTTTATGGGTTTACACTACTAATGTTCAACTAGGTAGCCTCGTAATTTTGAACCCAATCCAGAAGACAAGGGAACTCCTGGATCGAATATTGGGAGAAATTTCGCCTTCGTGGAGGACTTATGGAACTAATCCGTATTTGCGTTACATAGAGAGGAAGACCACGAGAACCTCACAAGGTTAGCCTGATGGCAAGGGGACTCTTACCCATGATCCGTCTACCACTGAATATATTCCACGTCAGCACTGAGGTCGGTGCAAGCCGGGTGCGGAATTCGTATAGATTGGGATTCGAATACGGTTCGCCTCATTGGAATGGGAACGCTCTATCCCCTGAGCCATCGCTGCTCAATGTAAAATGATTGGCGCTTTCATACGCTATGGACCGGCGGTGAGCCGAAATAGATTGTGGTTAAATGAATTGTGAAAACGTTGAACAATGTGAAAAGCACGCTTTTGCATAATACGTGGCGAAAAGCGACATGGTAAGGAAAAAAAATTTCATTTTCGAAAAGAGAAAAATAAGCAATTTTTAAAAACACTCAATGAAAAAACGGGCTTTTAAAAAAACGAAAATAAGCACCTTTAAGCACTTTTCAAAAACGCTACGCACCATGTTGATGGCTTTTACTCTGTGCTATCGTTTACAAACACGTTCGCATAAATAATATTCTGAATTATGGAATGTTTCTTTTGCACCTAGTAAGTATTTAGTTTACATTTTGCTATTCGAAAGATGAATGTCATGACCAAATGGCATTGAAACTAGAAGGACATTTTCTTTTTTTCAAAGGTAGTATCCCTATCATATAGGGGGGGGGGCACAAAAAAAATTCATCTGCAAATTTCACCGAGGTACAAGACAGTAATTCTGCAGCGCCTGGAATTTAAGTGCGGTTCCATAGTTAAGAGCACTATACTTTTCCCAGGTCTTAATTCATTTGCTCGCTTTTCAACTTACACAAATAAAAATAGCCATTAAAAATATTATTTTTTGGACTTCATATCAGTTGAAGTCAAAGTTACGTGGCTTGAACATCATACAATAACTTTCCATTAATATTTAGGAGACAATAATTGTTACCCAACAATACTATTTTGTCCAGGATTATAACTTATACAGGGTGTGTAGCCAAATCTTTCAACGAAAAAAAAAGCAACTTTTAAGTACTTATCAAGCACTTGAAAATATTTTTAAGCACTATATACATGAACAAAATGCAAAATAATTTTCAAAGAATTTACTTGATCAGGATAAAATAACTAACTTCTGACAAAAAACGCCTTTCTTGATTATATTAGCAACCATGAAAGCATCGATTTTTCAATTCGATTTCAGAGGGTAGAAAATGAAGCCTGAAATTTTGAATGTCTTGCAAAATGTAGCCGAGTTGCACATGAGAGTGCAAGAATCTCACGGAACCCATCTTAGTACAAGCACGTGCGGACCCGCAAGTAATATTTCTTCAAACATGTCAAATGATTGCAGCTTTCATACGCTACGGACCGACGGTACGCCGAAATGCAGTGTGAAAACGTTGAATAGAACAATTTTAAAACCACGCTTTTGCATAATACATTGCGAAAATCGACATGGTAAAGAAAAAAAATCATTTTCGAAAAGGAAAATTCAAATTGAAACACTTTAAAAATACCCAATAAAAAAAAACATCTTTGAAGGGCTTTTAGGAAACGAAAATAAGCCCCTTTTAAAACGCTACGCACCATGTTATAATAAGAATGTATACATGGTTTTATTTTACAAGCAGTAACGAAATTATAATTCATAAGTAATGAAGTAGCTTAGTAAACTAAGCTACTTCAGTAATCGGAATCAGAGATGTCATGAAAACTGTTGCGCATGAAATTTTTTAACATGGTGGATCCTAATTTCTGTTACACTATTCCTCTGCCGAACGTTTGCAGTTCTGCAAAATCAAAAACAGACATAAAACTTCATAAATAAATGTTTTTCAGGGGTTCAAAATGACCCCTTTTGGCCGTTTTAAGTAGTTCCATAACTATTTATTTTAATAATCAGAAAGGCATGAAATTTCAATATGGTATACTTAGAAACAATTTAACACTAAACATACCATAACTGGTCAAAGGACCGTTTAAGAACTGTTGCATTGAAAATGCGCTTATCGTTTTTTGCACATCTGACTTCATGACTTTTTCTAACAATTATATACAGTTATTATTCTATTACTATTTTTTTGTATTCTGTTTGTTTTGAATACCACAACCGGTCATTTGTCCGGGAGAACAATTTATTGCTTTATAAGGTTATCGGATTAGAAATTACGATGTAATGCATGTTCTATGCATCGCATTCAATTAGTTGCACATTTCAGAAAAGACTGTTGCGTAGTGAGTTCAAACAAAATAACTGTGAATTCAAATTTCAAGAAAGTAGCTAAAATTTTAGATTGGCATTTTTGAGTAAGAAAAAGTGACAAAAACTAAATCTTTTGGTAAGTAGCCTGTATTTTATTTTGTTATCTTTACTTCATTTGTAACTAACCTGTTAGTTTTTACCCAGAAAAATGTTGAAACGATCAAGACAGCACAAGCTCTTAGAAGAAATAATATTAGTTATAAGAATAATTATAGGAATTATAATTCTCATAAATAAAAGAATAATTATAAGAATTATAGAAATAATAATAAATAGAAGAAATATGTTTGCGGAAAATGTACAATGGAAACACCCTGTATAGCTTATTTCCTTCCTAACATCCATATTTCATACATTCAATCAAGAAACATGAAGTCCGGTCATTTGACCGGCTATTGTAGAAATAGATATATATTAAGTGTTGGTATGTTTAGTGTTAAAAAAGTTTAAAAAATATAAACTTCGAAGCTCACACGTATCTTCAAAAATAGCATNCCTAACATCCATATTTCATACATTCAATCAAGAAACATGAAGTCTGGTCATTTGACCGGCTATTGTAGAAATAGATATACATTAAGTGTTGGTATGTTTAGTGTTAAAAAAGTTTAAAAAATATAAACTTCGAAGCTCACACGTATCTTTAAAAATAGCATAAGAATTGGCCAAAAAAAAATATAAAAAATGACCTCAACAGCGCTTCTAGTGTTATTAAGCTCTGCTTGACTTATGAGAAATTAATGATTTTTTTTTTCAGGTTAGCCACACTCAGAAAAAAAAATCCCCTAATTTTCCAGACTAATATTTATTGAATTTCCCTGATTTTCACAGATATGCATAAATTTTATTATTAATTTTTCAATTATGTTACGTTCTTATACATAAATATATTACAAAACAATAATACGTGCTACTAGAGTTGAAAATAAACAATTTTAAAAAAAAAACATTACAAAACCGATTTCTGCTGAAATAGAATATTGGATTTTAAGATAACTCTAAATCAAATTTATTCATATGGGCTATTTTATTGAAATTCCCTGTTTCTTCCCAGACTGAAAAAATTCCCTTACTTTTCCCAGTTTTTTGTAGCCATCCAGTCTTAAATATTAAAAATTTCCGGTTTAAAATATTAGAAATCAACACTTCTTTTGTATAAAGTAGAAGAAAAAAACTTTTGTTTATGAATTTGAGACAGTTCAACTAATTAGTGGAAATGAAAGAATGCTTTTTTTAAAGCACCTTTTCCTTATTTATTATGAGGAAAAAACACTGGACTTTACTGCACATCCATGAATATTGTTTGCTCTAAATATAACTTTGTATGTCCATCAAATTGTTGATAAAGGATTTTTTTGTAAGAATATAAAATAAAAAGAAATATAGAAAAAAGTTTTTTAGAATGCAGAAAAAAATATAGCCAATATAAATGCAGTACATTTTTATTTGTTCAGCCATTTTTAGAAACACATGATTACTTAATATGACACGACCATAATTTTCCTTCATAAATTTGTAAAACTATGACAAATAAATTCCTGTGATTGCAAAAAACTGATTTTATTCCCTTTTAATACCTAACAAGCATTGTTGTTTTAAAAATATATATATATAATTTATAGTAGAATTTAACAAGGGAAAAAAAGAAGGAAAATTTGCTAAGATTTCAAAATGAAAACATTAAAATTGCATAAGACATTTTAATTGTAACGAGCAAATTTAAGTGATTAAATTATCATACTCAGAATTGAAATAAGAAGAATTATTTTAACAAAAATTAAAATGTGAAGAACAATTTTAACAGGTTCTATAACGGATAGTAAACAAAAGTAATTTTTTTCACGTTAGAGCAATTTTTTATAGGGATGCAAACATTTTACATTGGTATTATTATGCAAATGCTCATGTAAAGTATTTATTCAGGGTTTCTTCTTAACTATGCATTCTTAAGATCGTACCATACAACCATTACAATGGTGTTATATTTTTGATTTCTAAAAACAAAAATCCAGCAATTTATAAATATTCAAAATGCAACTAAAAATAATTGGGGAATTCCTAGAATAGAGGTTATAAATTAAGAATTAAGATACTCCAAAATCATATAGAACAGTATAAGCAAATTTAATAATTCACAATAAATGGGCAAAATTGCTAATTTATGTTTTAGAATGGAAACTTAATGGAACTTTAAACTATCTCCATGGCAAAAAATAATTTTTACAAGCTCTGTAATATAATTAATAAAGTAAAAAGAAGAAATTCTTCAGTTTGAATATGAATAAGGTTACTTTAACAAAAGAAAAGAAAATATTAAAAAATTACACTTTAGTACTAATATTACAAATGGTACATAAATAAACTAATTGTTTAAAAACATAAATTCTCTCATTTCATTTCTAAAAATGTAATTTTAAAATAAAAAAGTTACTATATTAATAAGTTTCTGACTTTAGATAAACAAAATCAAGAGGAAATATAACAAAAAAAATTAATACTAACGACTCCTGACATTTTGGGAAGATTAGCACTTATGTTATAGAACAAAACAATTTTAAATTATATGCCATTCTTAGCACAATAAATAAAAATTTTCTATACAAAACAACAAAAATGTCTGTAAAATGTAAAAAAATAAATATGACATGGTCATTATACGAAAAGATGACACACTTTTAAGATGGTCCTTTAAAGATACAAAAAAGTGTAGAATTTTACAACTATTATGATCCTATAATGAAGAAGGGCTAGTCCAACTATCTAGAAGATCTTGTATGCTTCGAAAATGTTCTTTTGTAGGGGTAGCCTCCTAAAAAATCGCAAAACTCATTAACATTTACATAGCATATTTCTTTTTAACAGCAATGAAAACATAACACAACAAAAACAATTTAAAATATAATCAGAGTTTTCAATCAATTTTAAAAATTAAATTTCCTGGTTATTTTCCAGGTATGATTTAGGAATTTTCCAGATTTTTGTAAAAAAATTCAACTTTTCCTGATTAATCCTTGCTTTTTAGAGCCAAAATAAAATTCTCTGACAATTTAAGGTTTTTCCTATTCTCCCTAACCGGTGAGAGCCTTGAGAAATTAAATAAATATAATTAATAAAATTATAATAATATATAATGATTATTAAATATATTGTAATAATAATTATTATTTATTAGAAAGATTAATAATAATTGCATAAAAATAAACTTAAGTTTTTTTTATTTACTATTATTGAAAGAAAAATTAATTGCATCATTAACCTTCAAAAAACCATTAATATTAATTTTACCAAGATAAATATGATCTAATTGAAAATCAATGATCTGTTAGCTTTGACAAGGTGCGTAGCCAGATTTTTCAATAAAAAGTAATACTTTTTAAGTACTCAAAAAATATTCTTTATGACTTTCTGAAAAAAAAAATTATAATTAGGATCTTGTACAGTAATGAAAATTCTTTTTAATATTGTTTAAAGTTCTTAATTTATAAACATAAAATCAATAAAATTCAAAAAAATTTTAAAAAACTTTACATAATCATGATAAAATAACTAGTTTCTGACAAATATTGCTGAAAAAAATTGGGGAAATCATGCATTTTTTGCAATTGACAATCGACACGGCAAAGGAAAAAATCTTTTTTTAAAAGACAGAAAATTAAGCACTTTTTACCAACCCCGAATAAAAAAAGGCACATTTAAGGGTTTTAAGAAACGTAAATGAAAAATAAGCACCTTTATGCACTTTTTAAAAATGAAACGCTTCAAGAAAACGCCAACTGCTCATGGTGGTCACCGGGATTAGGGCAGAAGCGTAGAGAGGTCAGAGCAATTAGGCGACGATTCCAAAAATCGACTGACGAACAGGAGCGAATGGATTTTAAGATTAAGTTCAAAAAACAATTGGCGGCCTATAAGAAGGACATCAGAAGAGCCAAAATGAGTGACTTGAAAAACTTTTTGGACAGAGCAAACGATGATGGGGCGTTTTCTGCCCCATACAAGATTGCTAGAGGCGACAATTTGAGACTCACCAGTCACAGCCCCGTGTTCAAGGAAAACGGAACACTCACTACAAGTTTTGATGAAACTATTTCTGTAATTATGTCACATCATTTTCCAAATACTTGTGATATTCCATGTGAACCACTGATCAGAGGTAATAATGATCCCCCTTTCTCTGAAATTGAATTAGAATCAGTGATCGGAGACCTAAAATCTAATAAAGCACCGGGCCCTGATGGCCTCCCTAACAAGGTTTTTAGGGAAATTTTCATTATTGATAGGGCATGGCTATTGCGTGTTTTTAATAAATGCCTTGAGTTAAACTCTTTTCCAATGGCTTGGAAATGGGCCAGAGTCACCCTGATTCCAAAATCCGACAGAGACAAAAGTTTGCCCGCTTCATATAGACCCATTTCTCTACTCCCAGTCGTCTGGGGTAAAATATTAGACAAATTACTAACTAGGAGACTTGCTTACTTTCTTGAAAACAATCAACACTTAAGTCCTAATCAATTTGGCTTCCGGACCGGGAGAGGAACTGATGAAGCTCTTTTGGAGGTTGTCAAATTTATTGAAGAAGCGCGGCTGGATAATAAACATAGTGTTGGGGTGGCTCTGGACATTGACAATGCATTTAATAACGCTAACTGGGCAACCTTGAAATCTGAAATTAACAGTTTAGAACTTCCTGATAATTTGGTTAAATTTATTTTTGGCTTCCTTAGCCAGAGAGTAGTCACTTTTATTGACGAGGAGGGCAATTGCATTTTTAGGCAATCCATTTTTATGGGAGTGCCACAGGGCTCATCACTTGGACCGGTGCTGTGGCTGATATACATTAATTCGGTTTTTAGCTATTTTAATTGTATTGATTTTAATGTTTTCCACGATTTTAATCTTAATGATTGCCGCATAATAGCATTCGCGGATGATTTATTGCTTTTACTGAGACACCCAATTTTATATCGCTTCGATCAAGTGGCCACCTACTGCCTTGCTGAACTCTCAGCCTGGGCAAAAAGTAATAATCTTAAATTTAGCGACACCAAAACGAAATGCATAACTTTTCCAAAAAATAGAAAAAGAATTGGCAGACAACCAATTATTAAAATGAGTCAAAATCATAAATATTCAGTGAAAAAAGTGCAAGAACTTAAATATCTCGGTGTTGTACTCGACCCAGGTTTGACCTGGATCACACATCTAAACCAGGTCAAAGAGAGAGTCAGCAACTTTAATAACTTAATTAAAAGGGTTGCCAGGGCAACTTGGGGCCTAAAACCCTCTATCCTTAAGTTGATCTACCTGCGGGCTACGGAGCGAATCATTTTATTCGCCGCCAGTGTCTGGTACCACAATACTGTTAAAATCAACGAAAAACTTAAATCCATACAGAGAATCTCACTCATTAACATCCTTAAGGCCTACTCTACAACCAGCACGGAGGCCCTCCAGATACTGGCGGGGGTGAAACCTATCCATCTTAAGATTTTGGAGGACACTTGCATTAAAAGACTTAAGTGGAATTGGAGACTTAGCGACTTTGACTCAGAGATGCAGCAGATTCTCCTCACAGCAGATATGGATGATCCACCAACTAGGATTCACCCATCAAAACTTATTTCCGTTCCCTACGGTAGATCACTCCCAACAAGCAGCGGCCTTGAAATTTTTACTGATGGATCAAGGATGGAGGTTGCCGACTCCGCTACTGATACCACAGAATATAGAACTGGCTTCGGCATTGTTACTAAAATGCACGGTACTTTAAGTGAGGTAACCTCCACCAGGATCTCAAACAATAGTAGTGTTTACATGGCAGAATTGGTGGCAATTAATAATGCTTTTCTCTGGCTCTCTAAAAAAGAATATCCAGACGCCACTATCTATACTGATTTCGCTGTAAGCCTTACAAAACCCAGTATCAAACTCAAAAATTGTTGAAAACACTAAACAATCATGGCAATCTAATATACTCTGTAATTGGGTTAAAGCTCATATAGGTACTCAAGGCAACGAGGAGACGGATCGAGCAGCTAAGAACGCCACCGATCTCTGCCAAATTACCCTTGAGGTCCCAAGCTCCATCGCCCAAATTAAAACTCAGGTTAAATTATATAGCATGAAGCGCTGGGGGCTGGAATGGCGGAGTTCCGAGAAAGGGGGATAGACATTCAAGTTTTTTAAAGACCCGAAATTAAATAGACTACAAGTAAACTTCTATCTCAATCAATTTTTAACAGGCCACGGAGTGTTTGGAGAACACCAATATAAATTATTCCACAAAACTCCAGAATGCAATTACTGTGGTGAATATCAATCTATTGATCACTTGTTAATAAATTGTTCTCAATTCCAGACAATCCGGGGCAATAACTTTAATAATATTGGCCAACATCAATGCTATGCTAACCTGACTTGTAGAAATATCATAAAAAAGATTATTAAACAAACTTTAGAGGATGTATTGGGGGACGGTCTTTAATGTCTCGGAACTTGTTCCTTCCAGCTTGGGTGTCTCATTTTTTTTACNAGGTGCGTAGCCAGATTTTTCAATAAAAAGTAATACTTTTTAAGTACTCAAAAAATATTCTTTATGACTTTCCGAAAAAAAAAAATTATAATTAGGATCTTGTACAGTAATGAAGATTTTTTTTAATATTGTTTAAAGTTCTTAATTTATAAACATTAAATCAATAAAATTCAAAAAAATTTACATAATCATGATAAAATAACTAGTTTCTGATAAATATTGCTGAAAAAAATTGGGGAAATCATGCATTTTTTGCAATTGACAATCGACACGGCAAAGGAAAAAATCTTTTTTTAAAAGACAGAAAATTAAGCACTTTTTACCAACCTCGAATAAAAAAGGCACATTTAAGGGTTTTAAGAAACGTAAATGAAAAATAAGCACCTTTGTGCACTTTTTAAAAATGCTACACAACCTGTTTGATACAAAGCAATTTTGGCGCAGACACTTTTTACATTGAAAACACTTTTTGTTGTATTTTTTTCACAGCGACATGGCATTACAGACACTAAGAATGGCCATCCAATAGTCTTAATACAATTTAAAATTACTGTAATGCACATGACAATTAGAAATCCATTTTATGACTCATTGTAAATAGTTTCCTCCTGATGAGAAGTTCTTTTTTACACAATTCGCTGCACTTAGAAAGATCAACCATTTTGAAGCATTCATAGAAAGGTACAATTTTCAGTCATTGTTTCTCGTATCATTAGATATATCTTAGTCATAGAGTTTAAATACCTCAGAAATAGCATTGATAACACGAATCAGAAAGAAAAAACTGTCTATAGCAAGAATCTTCAAAATACAGTCAGACCTCGATATAAGGTCATCCACATATAAGGTCACTTTTCCAAAGTCCTGGCTCACTGAATAGGAATTCTTTGCTACAGATTATCGGATATATAGTCAAGTTTTAAAAATCATTATCGCTTATAAGGTCATTTTTATCTGAGGCGAGGGAAGCTCCTTTCAAACAAAATCTTATTTAACTTCCTTACAAGGCAGTTACCTCTCTCAAGTTTTAGGAAAATGTTGCAGCCAATGAACAAGCTACAATTTCTGAAATTGTTTCACAAGTTGTGGACAGTGATTACAATGACAGTGATCCTGAGACTGTAGCTGTAACCCAAGTGGAAGCCTTCAATGCAATAAATATCAGACGAAATTTTTTTACAAACCATGAGGGAGCTGAGGAACATTTTGAGAAGTTACAAAATCTAGAAAACATTGTTCGAAAAATGAAACCAAAAACAAGACAGACCTGCATAAAT